AAATTACTGCTTAAAGGACTATTTACAAAATCTAAAAATATACAGATAAGAGTCTAATATCATACTGCTTAGATGTCAATTTTCCCCAAATTAATCTAAAAATTCAAAACCACTCCAATCAAAATCCCAATGGGTTTTGTGGGTATAGGCCAGTGGTAGAATGGTTACCTAGCTTGCAAAAGGTTCTGGGTTTGATCCCAGCAAAAAACAGATAAACAAAAATAAAATAAAATCTCCCAACAGGGCTTTTACGAAATTGACAAACTGATTCTAAAATTAATATGAAGGCTCACATCTATACAGGAACATAAGTTCAAGTATAGCCTCAGCAATTTGGCAGGACCCTGTCTCAAAATAAAAATAAATAAATATTGTGTGTGTGTGTGGTGTGTGTGTGTGTGTGTGTGTGTGTGTGTGTAACGGGATGAGGATGTAGCTTAGTAGTTGAATATCCCTGGGTTCAATCTCAATACTGGGGAAAAAAAATTAATAGGAAATGAAATTAATACAGAAATGCAAAGGATCTAGCATACCCAAAAAAACCCTGACCAAAAAAAAAAAATTAGAAGACTAACACTACTTGGTTTCAAAAATTATTATAAAGCTACAAATAATAAAAGCAGCATGATAATGACATAAAATAGGCAAAAGATCAGGGAACATAGTCCAGAATAAACCTACATTCATACACATGACTGATTTTAACAAAGGTACAAGGGCAATGCAGTGAAGAAAGAACAGGCTTTCCAACATACAGACTGGATACAATACACAAAAACACAAAAATGTTCATGGATCTACACCTTATACCATATATAAAAATTAACTTGTAGTGAATAGCATTATCAAATTTCTAGAAGAAAACACAAGAAAAAATATTTGTGATCTTGGGCTAAACAAAGATTTCTTAGATATACCACCAAAAGCACAATCCATAGAAAAACAAATTGGTAATAACAAAGTCATTATAATTAATAATTTCTGTTCTTCACAATACATTGTCAAGATAATGGAAAGAAATGCCAGCACATGATAGATGCCTGTAATCTTAGAAGCTCAGGAGGCTAAGGCAGTAGGATTACAAGTTCAAAACCAGCCTCAGCAACTCAGCAAGGCCCTAAGCAATTTGGCAAGACCCTGTCACTAAATAAAATATTTTTTAAATGGCTGGGGAGGGCTGGGGACATAGCTTAGTTGGTAGAGTGCTTACCTCACATGCACAAGACCCTGGGTTCAATACCCTTAAACTAATTAGTGAATTAATCCCTGATGAGATTAACTGAGTGGTAATAGAGAGGAAGGACACTGAGGTTGTGACTATGGGGTATATATTTGTATCTGGCAAGTGGAGTCTGTCTCTCTTCCTGATCACCATGTGAGTTGCTTTCCTCTGCCACATTCTTCTACCATGATGTTCAGCCTACCTCAAGCCCCAAGGAATGGAGGCAGTCTTTCATGGACCAAGACTTCTGAAACTGTGAGCCCCTAAATAAACCTTTCCTCTTCTAAAATTGGTCAGCTCTTTTAATCACAGCAGAGAAAAAGTTGAATAAAATAGCACTTGACTGCCATGTAAAAGGCCCTGGGTTGGATTCCCAGCACAAAAAAGAAAAAAAAAAGAATTTATTAGCCGAGCATGGTAGCACAGGCCTGCAATCCCAGTGGCTCAGGAGGCTGAGGCAGGGAGATCACAGAGTTCAAAGCCAGCCTCAACAACTTAGAGAGGCCCTAAGCAACTCAGCAAGACCCTCTCTCAAAATAAAAAAGGGCTGGGGATGTTGTTTAGTGATTAAGTGCCCCTGAATTCAATCACTGGTACCAAAAAAAAACAAAAAAAACACCACAAACAAAATTGTGTATTTTAATCTGTAATGTCAATATCTGCAAAAGAATCTGAGGGACTGAGTTCAGTGACAGAGCATGTGTTTATTAGCATGTACAAAAGCCTTAATTTAAACTCAGCTTCAAAAAAGAGTTTCTAAGCTGAGATAAAACATAGTCTTTGCTTTTTTTTTTTAATATTTATTTTTTAGTTGTAGTTGAACACAATACCTTTATTTTGTCTGTTTATTTTTATGTGATGCTGAGGCTTGAACCTAGGCCCTTGCACTTATGAGGTGAGTACTCTACCTCTGAGTCACAAACCCATCCCCATAGTCACTGCTTCTATGTTATTTTTTATATAAGAAATACTAAAACTGTACTTTAAAGGCTAAGAAAAGAGGGTGTAGGAGGCAGGAAGATGGTGGAATGTCATGGTCATTACCCTAGGTACAAATATGACTGCACATATGTTGTGACACTACATCATGTACAAAGAAATTAAAAGATGTGCTGCAATTGTGTACATCGAAACAAAATGCACTCTGCTGTCATATATACCTAATTTAAATAAATAAATAAATAAATTTTAAAATAAAGGCTAAGAAAAAAATGCCTCTAGGTATATAGTGTGAGCAAATGTTAAAAGTTATACAGACACTGAAATTCCAGAAACTACTCTCTGAAAAAATGGAGAAAAGATGCCACACAGGAATATATCTTTTTCCAGAAGAACAAGAGTTGTCCCCTTTTTTTTTCTTTTGGATTTACCGTTGTTGTTTTAACACATAAGAATATCAAAAAGGAAAAAACAACTAATAGGTTCTTGTCCACAAAAGTCAGTTAGCTTTATTTCTTGCCAGGCTTAAACTACATCCTGAACATTTATAACGATATCTGTTATCATTTATTGAAGTATCACTGTAGGAAATTTTACTTATATTATTCCTAAACAACACAATAATCCTGTAGAGTGTTACTACTCTTATAGGTGAGAAAAAAAGTTCAGAAAGGACAACACAGTAAATGGCAATTCCAACACAATTGGTGAGGTTTATAAAGAGCTTTTCTTTGTTCTCTTAGAAACTTGGGGAGAATAAAACAATAAAAGAATGGACCGACTCAAGTAAAATAACTGCAGAAACAAGTTAGATCAACTGAAGCACTAATGATGTCAGGTTTATACTATCATCTTTACACAAACAAACAAACAAAAAAAAAATCAGACATGATATTTCCTGACTTACTTTACACCAAGGAACAAGGACATTTTCTGAAAGACACATTCAAATAAGTAAAATAGCACTTACAAGTAAAACTTAAGGTGGGTATTTTCTTTTATTTTCTTTTTTTTTTTTAATAAAGAGAGAGAGAGAGAGAGAATTTTTTTTTTTAATATTTATTTTTTAGTTTTCGGCAGATACAACATCTTTGTTTGTATGTGGTGCTGAGGATCGAACCCGGGCCGCACGCATGCCAGGCGAGCGCACTACCGCTTGAGCCACATCCCCAGCCCAAGGTGGGTATTTTCTTGAGAGAGCCTAATTGTAAAGGTCAAGCATTAATGATAGGCATTCATAGAAATTCTTCCTTCCAGGAAATCATGATCCAGTGACAGAAGTGGAAAAATACAGTAGCAATTTAAAATGGTATGACAAATAATACCACAGAATTAGTACAGGTTCTATGGAAGCACAATAGATGGCCAATTGACCTAGTCTTAGAAGACATACAATGAGTCAGGCAGCAAACATCATGTTAAAATTCGAAATGATTTTGTAGGGATTGCGAAGCCAAAGATTTTTAAGCAAATAAGTGCAAAGATCTACAATCTGAATTCTTAAAAGAAAGTTGAAGCTGGGCCTGAAATCCTAACAGCTTGGGATGCTAAGGCAAGAGGACTGCAAGGTCCAGCCTCAACAACTTAGCTAGACCCTGAGCAACTCCGCAAAACCAAAAAAAAAAAAGGAAGGAAGAAAGAAAGTTACAATAAATTTAATGAAATGTGTGGAGGAAAATCTGAAGGCAGAAAAGCCAGTTTTAGACTCTTTTACAAAAACCCAAATAACATATGGTCAGGAAAAGAGATGGAAATGGAAAAAAACAGACTTTAGTATCATTTAAGAGGTAAAAACTAAATCATGTAGTGACAAAAGGAATAAAAGATGAAAAGGGTCAAAAAGCTTTATTAGCTTGAGACAAATGAATGGTTCTACTATAAGACAGAAGATACCAGGAGGGGGAAAAAAGAAACCACAATGATTCAGTTCATTACTTATTGGATGTGATCTACAGGCAGGTGGAAAACGCCAATAAACAAATGGAAATAGGGACTAAAGGAAAGAAGTTAATATCTACAGAGAAGGTCAGTCTTTATGCTTTCCACAATAATAGAAATTTCTATGGTTGTGCTAATACAATAGATATTTGCCTCATGTAGTAGCTTTGTCCACTTGATTGTGACTAGTGCAATATAGGAACTGATTTTTAATTAATTTTAATTAAAATAGCTATAGGCAGTTAATGGCTATTGTACTAGATTACATCTAAAGATTTAATTCACATTTATCTTTTTTTTTTTTTTTCAATTCTAGAGATCAAATCTAAGACTTTGCACCTACTAGTATTCTACTGTTAAGCTGTATCTCAGGTGCATTCACATTTTCTTTCTTTCAATTTCCCGACACACAAAAGATTAAGATTTCTAATTGATTTAACTTATTCCAACAGTTGTAAAATATTCCATTAGGTTAAAATATATTATGAAATTATAATCCATCCTCTGCCAAACAACATAATTACTTTCTTTTAAGTAATTCATAATTCCATTTACAAATCATATGAAACTGAATAACAATTGCCTGGTCTTGGCAAGTTAGCATGAAAGTACAACTACAAAACAAACCATACATGTGTAAAGAGGCTTAATTTCAGCTGAGCGTAGTGGTGCACACCTGTAATCCTAAACTGAGGCAGTAGAATCCCAAGTTTGAGGTTAGCCTCAGCAACTTAGCCAGGCCCTAAACAACTTAGCAAGATCCTATCTCAAAATAAAAAATAAATAGGGCTGGGATGTGGTTCAGTGGTTAAGGTTAAGTACCCCTAGGTTCAATCCCCAGTACCAAAAAAAGGCGGGGGGGGGAGGCTTAATTTGAAACCTACAACTTCAAACTACTGACCTCTCCATCACTATCAGATATCACAATGAATGCATCCTCAAGTCTACGCTTCCTCTTCACACTGACAGAACTGGTAGCTTCAGCATCCTTCTTCTCCAGGTTTTCAGATTCAGAGGCTTCTTTAACTTTTTTCTTTCTGCGTGGCATCGTTTTATCTGAAATACAAGGTCAAATAATTTACTTGAAGTATAAATTTCCTCGAAGTGATTCAATTTGGTCATGTAAAATAAAAAGATATTCATCCTACAAGTAAAAACTGGATTTCAGAACTTTTCTACTACTCATTAAAAATTACATTCTTTTCAGGGCTGGGGTTGTGGCTCAGTGGTAGACTGCTTGCTTCGCACATTTGAGGACCTGGGTTTGATGCTCTGCACACCATTAAAAAATAAAGTGAAATAAAAATTATATTCTTTTCTATAGAGAAAAAATACACACACAAATCTTGTTTCTGTGAAGTTTCAATAGCAATAATATAACAATACTATATTATTATACATTAGCTTAGATAACTAATTTTCTAAACTACACATTAATAATTTGCCTAAAAAATATTTTTTAAAATACCAATGTCTCAACCAAGCATGGTGGCTCACACCTGTAATCCCAGCTATTCAGGAAATTAAAGCAGGAGGATTACAAATTTGAGGGTAGCCAGGCACAGTGGCACATGCCTGTAATTCCAGCCAACAGAGAGGCTGACTCAGGAGGACCACAAGTTCAAAATCAGCCTCAGCAACTTAGCTAGACCCTAAGCAATTTAGCAAGACCCTATCTCAAAATGAAAAATAAAAAGAGCTGGAGATGTAGCTCAGTGGTAAAGTGCCCCCGGGTTCAATCCTCAGTATCTGAAAAAAAAAAAAAGCTGGCAACGTAATGTTGTCACATGTGAAGCCCTAAGGTCTAATCTCTAGTACACCCCAAAAAATTAAACTTATTAAATTTAATTTAAAAGATATAATAAAAAGCAAACAAAATTTTAAAAATAAAAAATTAAAGTTTTTTAAATTTTTTTTTTTTAATTTTTAATTAAAAAATAAGAGGGGCTGGGATTGTGGCTCAGCAGTAGAGTGTTCACCTAACACATTCGAGGCCTGGGTTCGATCCTCAGCACCACATAAAAATAAATAAATAAAGGTATTGTGTCCAACTATAACTAAAAAATTATTAATTAATTAATTAATAAAATAAGAGTTGGGCATGCAGCTCAGTGATAGGGCACTTAACTAGCATGCTTGAGGCCCTGGGTTCAATAACCAATAGCCAAAAAAAAAGATTCAACTTAATAAAGGGATTCTACCAAAAATCCACAGTTAATACTCTAATATATTTAAAAGCAAAAGCTTAATCCTTCCTCTTTAAGACAAAGAACAGGGGGGAGGGAAGAATAGAAATTCACTGGATTAGACAAAGGTGAACAAAGGGAAGAAAGAAGATGGGAATAAGAAAGACAGTAGAATGAATCAGACGAAACTTTCCTATATGACCAATAAAACTCCACATCATGTACAACCACAAGAATGGGATCCTAATTAGAATAAGTTATGCTCCATGTATGCATAATATGTCAAAATACACTCTATTATCATGAATATATAAAAAGAATTTTTAAAAAAAGAGCAAAACAAGAATGTTTGCTTTCACTAGATACCATAGTATAGTCCTGTAATCCCAGCTACTTTAGAGGTTAAGGCAAGAAGATTGTGAACTGGAGGTCCTCTTGAGCAATATAAGGATATTCCATCTCAAAAAAAAAAAAAAGTACAGTGGTACACATCTGTAATCCCAGTTACTAGGAAGGTTGGGACAGGAGAATGGCAAGTTCAAAGTCATCCTAGACAACGTAGTAAGACTGTGTCTCAAAATAAAAATTTTTTAAAGGCTGGGGATGTAGATCAATGCTAGAGAGCCCCTGAATTCAATCTCCAGTACCACCCACTGCAAATGAAAACCAGAAAAACAATCTCTAGGGCTGGGGGTTATGGCTCAGAGGCAGAGCGCTCACCTAACATGTGTGAGGCCCTGGGTTCGATCCTCAGCACCACATAAAAAATAAAGGTATTGTATTCAATTACAAGTAAAAAATAAATATTAAAAAAAAAATCTCTACTTTTATCACTGAAAATTATAGTGAAGGTTCTAAGCCGGTTAATTAGAGAAGAAGAAATAAAAGGCATTCAAATTAGGAAGAAGTAAAACTATTAACCACTTGAAGATGACATGATCATGTTTAAAAAACAAACAGAGAAACAAACAAAAACCACTAGTGAATTCCCTAAAAAAACAACTAAAGAACAAGTTCAACAAAGTTGCAGGATACAAGGTCAATCAATATAAAAAACCCAATTACACTGCTATACACTAGTAATAATCCAAATTTAAATTTTAAAAATTCCATTTCTAATAGCACCTAAACCAATAAAGTCCTTAAGAATACATTTAAAAAAAAAGAAAGAAAGAAAGTTCAAGACTTAGAACTAAAAACTTAAAACAATACTGAAAGAGGCTGGGAACATAGCTCAGTTGTAGAATGCTTGCCTAGCAAGTATCACCAGGTCCACCAAATACAAACAAACAAAACACACACACACACACACACATTTGAAAGGAAATAAAGGAGATCTAAACAAATGCAAAGCCCTCACATGTTCATGAAGTGGAAAGACTTGTCACTATAAATATGGAAATACTTTCCAAATTGTTCTACAGATACAACATAATCCCTAATAAAATTCCAGTTTGGGGCTGGGGTTGTGGCTCAGCAGTAAAGCGCTTGCCTAGCATGTGTGAGGCACTGGGTTCCATTCTCAGCACCGCATCTAAATAAATAAAATAAAAGTCCATTGACAACAAAACAATATTTTTTTTAAAATCCCAGTTTGCTTTTTTGTGGAAATAAGATAAGCTGATCTTAAAATTCATTTGGAAATGAAAGGGTCCCAGAATAGCTAAAGCAATCCTTGGGGTGGGGAGCAAACTTTGAGTTGGAGTACTCAAACATCCCAATGCCAAAACTTACTGCAAAGCCACAGTTGCCAAGACTATGCTCACACACTTGCATTGACACAAAGACAGATAAATGGATCAATGGGATAGAACTGAGATTGTAGAAACCCAAACATTTACTGTTAACTAATTTTATATTGCAGTAACATGATAATTCAATGGAGAAATAGTCTTTTCAATAAATGATACACATAAAAAGAAAATGAAATTGGACCCATCTTACACACACATAAAAATTGTGTAAACTGAATCAAAGACCTAAATGTAGGAACAAAATCTATAAAACTCTTTTAAGAGAAAATTCAGGGCTGGGGTTGTAGCTCAGTGGTAGAGCACTTGCCTAGCATATGGAGGAACTGGGTTTGATTCTCAGCACCACATATAAATAAATAAAATAAAGGTCCGGGCTGGGGTTGTGGCTCAGTGGTAGAACAAGGTCCTGGGTTCGATCCTCAGCACCACATAAAATAAACAAATAAAATAAAGGTATTGTGTCCAACTACAAAAAAAAAAAAAAAAAAATTCTAATAAATAAATAAATAATAAAGGTTCATCAACAACTAAAAATTTTTTTTAAAAAGAGAAAATTCATCATAAAACTTTTGTCACATTTGATAGCCAATACTATATTAAATATGACACCAAAATTACAATAAAAGAAATAGAAAAATCAGACCTGATATAAATTAAAAACCATTATGCTTCAAACCATAAAGCATCAAGAAAGTAAAAAAAAAAAAAAAAAATTAAAGAACAGGAGGAAAAATTTGCAAATTATCTAAGGAACAAAGTATTTATATAAAGGACACTTGCAACGCCATAGTAAAAAAGCAAATAACCCAACTAAAAAATGGGATAAGCACATGAATAAACATTTCTCCAAAGAAGATATACAAATGACTATAGCACATAAAAGATGTTCAACATTATTAGACACTGTGAAATACGAATCAAATTACAATGAGATACCACTTCACACTATGATGACTATGAAAAGAAAAATAACAAGTACTGGTAAGAATGTAGATAAATTAGAATCTAGTACACTGATGGGAATGTAAGATGCAGCTGCTGTAAAGTAATGAAGTGTTTATTGATTCATGAACCTTGAAAACACCACACTAAGTGAAAGAAAACAGACACAAAAAACACATTGTTAAGATTCCATTTACATAAAATATCCAGAATAGGAAATCCACTGAGACAAAAAGTAGACTAGTGATAGGGTTAGGGAAAGGAAAATGTAAAACTGTTTTTAACAGCTATGGGTTTTCTTTTGGGGTTAATGATAAAGTTCTGTAAAAAAGAAAATGGTAAAGATTGTACAACACTGTATATATAATGGCAGAGTGCTTGCCTCACGTGTGTGAGGCATTGGGTTCGAGCCTCAGCACCACATAAATAAATAAAATAAAGGCATGTGTCCATCTACAACTAAAAAAAAAAAAAAAAAGCCACTAAATTATACACTTCAAATGGCTAAAATTGTAGATTTTATGTTGTGAATTTTACTTCAGTTTTTAAAAGTGGATCCCCAATTTATTTTTACAACCACAACAAAGAATCAGACTCAAATATTTAAACAGAACAATCTTAACTTTGTTACTAACTTTCAAATCTATTAACTATTCCATTATTCCTAAGGGAGCTACTATATATTATCACAAGTCTGCTTAATCTTAGCATTAAGATCTTTCTACCAAAACTACTTCAGGGATAAAAGACTGTAAATTGAGAGATGCCAATAAAATAGTATATACCCAGATGCTGCCAAGTGACAAAATTATTCCATATATGAATACAAGCACAAATATGAATAAAAATTTTAAATTGATATATGAAAATCATATTAATGGAGTACCACGTAATGTTTCAATACACATGCATTGTGTAATGTTTAAATCAGGTTGATATATCTATTTCCTCAAATATTTATCACTTCTTTATGGTAAAAACTTTCAAAATCCTGTCTTCTAACATTTTGTACGTTTTTATTATCTATAGTCACTCTACTATGCAACAGTACACTAAAGCTTCTTGTTCCTGTCTCTTAATAACCCAGATATCAACCTTTCCTCATTCCTCCCACCCTTCACTCTCCCAGCCTCTGGAAACCACCATTCCACTCTCAACTTTCTCTGAAATCAAC